CTGCTGGCTCCGAGGGCTCCGCAGAAGGGCTCCCGGGGCAGAAGATTTTTTTTTACCGGGAATTACCCCTTCACCCCACCAAGCTAAGAAACAGGCAGGTGATGGAGAGCCAGAGGAGACAGAGGGGACTGGCACACGGGCACAGAGTGGAGCAGATGTCACCTCCTTCATGTGGCCGTGCCAGGACAGGCGTTTGTGGCAGGGTACAAGCATGGCAGGACAGCGCAGTGATGGCCGGGCAGGGCTGGGAATGGGTGGCAGCGCCAAGATGTACGGCTCCCATGGCATGTCTAGTGTCCCTCTTGGGACAGTGTCAGGGCTGCTGTATTTCTGTGCCACCCTGGCCAAGCCGGCTCCTTGGGAAAACCCTGCCTCTATCCTAACTTTCCCTCCACTTGCAATCTCTTCACTGAACCCCCATCTGCTTTGCTCCCCACCCGGCCCCTTTCATTAATTTATCTCCCTGGCTCATCAGGGCGATAGCTGCATCTTTGCTGCGGAAGAGGGAGGAGGGGCAGGCCAGAAGCTGGGTGGCAGAGACGGAAATCAGCCGCGTACAGGGAAACTACCTAGCGTTCACCTGACTGTTTGCCTTCCCACCGGGGTCCTTGCTTCCTCCCCGCCGGCCGACAGCAGCTCGGGATGCATGGAGCACACTTCCCAGCCATTGCATTGGCAGCACAGCTGTTTGCATCTGGAGGTCTGGCCTGCAGGTGTTGGGTTTTACTTTCCCCAGCTAGCCAGTGGGTTTTTTTGGTGGTGTGTTGTATTTTTTTTCTTTCTTTCTTTCTTTCTTTCTTTTTTAATTTCCTTGTGGAGGGTGGGACGGTTGTTAGTGCTGAAAGCGCCGCCCGTGAGCGCTGGCACTCGCTCGGGTAATATCCCCCGGCCTCTGTGCTCCAGGGTTTGAGTCAGCCCCAGGCACCTCCGGCTGTCTGAGTCACTGTCCGCTTCCCACCCTCTCCCTGCAGCTGGGACCGCGGGGCCCGGGTGCGGGTGGCGAAGGGGGGACAGGCCAGTGCTGCTGGCATTTCATGCGAGCAGGTGATGCAGGCAGCTGCCAGCCCTTCGGCAGGTGCCGAGTCTGCCTACGATCTGCCGCTCCTGCTCTGTCAGTAAAGAGGGGATCGAGCCCTAAGGTGATCCAAAGCTGTGGAGGAGCTGGAGATGCTCCAGGTGTCCATGTGCAAGGGAGGAAAGCAGGGCAGAGCTGAACATCTTCCAGCACCATTGCCTGGGAAATAAGGCCAGGCTGAGCAGCTCTGTCTGGGCAAAGCAAGCTGTCCTTTTGACTGGTGTGACTGTTGCCTGGGTTGAAGGCTCAGGACTTGGGGCTTTGTTCCTGTAGATGTCACATTTTGCCTTAGGGCCACCCTGGATGGGGCTGTTCATCCCTCTTAGCACCTCTTGCATGGGGGGATTTCTGCTGGGGTATAACCCCAGCGCCCTGACACAGCCACCACTGGGGAAGGAAAGTGGTCCCTCTTCCATGTCCTTATTTTGGGCAGCAGATGAGAATCCTTTCATGTGATGTCATTTCTTTTTCTGCCTTTTTTGCCTCCCCTCCATCCATGCTTGCTCTGCTTCTGGTAAATCCCAAGGGAGTGTCCCCTTGTGCCAGGCTGAGGTTTGTTTTTACTCAGATCAAAGACGGTTTTATTGGGATCCCTTACCAGATGCAGTCCCAGACCTCTGCTGTATCTAAGCCCAGGTGTCCTCCTCAGGTCTCCGAGCTGCTCATCAGTGCATGCCCTGAGGGGTGACCACCATCTCAGGCCAGCTGCTCTCACGGCACAGCTAGGGGCTCCTGGCCTGTGTCAGACCCTCCAGAGCTATAGCAGCTAATTTCCCCCTGGTACCTGCGTCTCAAAGCATGGCTGAACTATTCCTTGTACTGCAAAGCTCCTGACCCCAGCGGGAGAGGATGCTGCTTTGAGTGTGGTCCTTACAAAGTTGCACACTTCATCTCTTTGGAGGCTTTTTCTCTGTCAGACACTTTCCTGGCAGACAACTTTCTCTTCATTTTTTTGCACTATTGCCAGCAACTCTTGTTTTAAACCCCAAAGTTATCACCCTAAGCGCTGATGAACATCCCAAACCAGGTTAGAGCTCCCCTTTCCCACCTGATGGGCCAGAGTTGCACTTACAGGTGCTGATGTTTCCTTGCACCTCCTCTGCAAACAGCTCTTCCCTTCCTGGTGTGTTGCCCCAGGACAACCTTGTTCCTTGGCAAATTCCAGGGTCTTGACTCTGCTTCGCCATTCTGCAGTAGTTCCTGGCTGAGGAACACGCTGCTCTGCCTGCATGCTCCATGGCTGCTGCTGCACTAGAGATGACATCCCTGGCCATGTCTAGAAAGCACCAGCTGCTGCTGTAGTGGCTTTCCAGCCCCTATTGTAGAGCTGACCTTGGCCTTACTTGCACCCCTTTAATGAAGTCTCCAGACCTGGTTTTAGGCTCACCTAAGGTTCTTTTGGCCAGTTTTGAACTCATCAGGCACTTCCATGCTTGGCTTGGCTTCAGCGTGGGTTTGCGAGGATGCTAGCTCGCACTCACCCCTGAAGGCTGTTCCACCCCGACGTCATTTGCCCCAGTTTTTCTTTGGTGTTTAATCAAATTTGAGGCACTCTAAATCATTTCAAGGTGAAATGCATGAGTTTTCCTAAGAGAGGAGGTACCAAGCCCTGTTTCCTCAACTTTGGTGAGGACCAAATACTAGCAGATGGCTTTTGAGCATGCAGGTCTAAGCACCTTTCAGCCGGAACTCGTCCCAAAAGTACTCTCCATCTTTGCCTTCTAATGCCTGCAAGGCTCCTTTGCCTGCCTTCTCCTTTTTGGCTTCTCCCCATCTCAGCTTCCCCTGGTCTTTCAGCTTCCCTTTCACAATCCACCAGAAAACAAGAGTTGGCCAAAGCCCATCCGCCCACAGAGGCTTTGTGCGTGGCTGCCTTTGTAGTGAGCGATGGCAGGGATCCACGCCCAGGGTGGTTACAACCGTGGGATGGCCAAGAGGCCGCCACCCATCTCGCCCTCTGTGAAAGGGGTGGATGGGAGGGAGGGAGGGGTGCTGCTTCCTGGGGTGCAGCGGGGTTTGATGTGACCTTTGCCAGCTACATTTACAAGGGCTGGCGGGGGAGACGTGGGGTCATGGTAACCTGGCTTCAGTCACATACCCTGGATGAAAGCCAGGAGGTCCTGCTCCTCCTGGAGCTCCTGTTCCTCTACACCTCTGTATCTGTCCGCTGGCCTCTTTGCAATCCTTGTGGCAGGTACAGTTTCCCCAGAGTGTCATGCTGAGCATCCCCGGGGACAGGCAAGGCGGTGGGACAGGGCAGGAGTGCCTTATTTTGGCCTGTGATTCCCTGATGCCACAGAGATGGGCAGATGATGCGTGCAATGGGAGCAGCACGGTGAGGGCAGGAGAACCTGTGCAGCAGGGTGGAGACACGGGGAAAAGCGGGCTGGAGCATAACAAATAACGCAGCAGGAACATGAAAAGGGCCTCTGGGCATGGGAGCAGATTTTGCCAGCGCTGAGGCACTATTGCATCTGGAAGTGAGGAACAGGAGGAGGAGGGTGGTCCCAGAAGATGCTACTTGTAGGGTTCAAAACATGCCCCAAAATTTGCTTGCCTCAGCTGATGACTCCATGGACATCCCAGCTGTGGTGATGTGGGAGCCCAGAAGCATTTTTTTCAGGCAGCAGGTGGGTCCATTTGCCCTTGACAGTATTTAAGTGCCTTGTGGCCATTGATTCCCAAGGGCATTCAGTGCCTGCAAGCCTCTGGTTTGTGACCGCGGGCATTTAGCAGCCTGAGTTTCGGGGAAAGTCAGCAAAGCTCAAGGTCTTGCCCAGCCTAAAACATAGGTCTGCAACATGCTTGGGCTCACAGGGAGATACTGAGCCTGAAGCTGTTCCTGGGGGTGGGTTTATGCTTGGGAGAGCTTCAGGGGCTGAGGTGTGCACTTGCCTGGCTGGAGGCAGCGCATCTCTCCATGTCCCTTTCCGACCCTTGCAAGCCCATGCTGGATGCATGACTGGGAGGAAAACTGGAGCGTAAAAGAGAGCTGTAAATCTGCCTGGAAGCTGTTGGGGAAGCAGTCCCTGGAGGAGGCTGTTTTGCTTTGGGTTGCTGTGCTCTAATTCTTAAAAGCTTTGGCCCGCAGATAAAAAGCTTAGCCTCTAATCCCGTCCCACAGGAGAGCGGCTACGGAGAGAAGCTCAGAAACTCCTCGCTCTTTGGCTTCACCTCCTGTCTGCACTCTTCCTCCCCTCCCCATCCTGCCTCTCCAACCCTCTGCCGTCCTTCCTGGCTACTCCACTTGCTCATCCAAAGATTTTGGACAGGGGCTGGCTTTTCCCTGCTGGTGCAGCATCCATTGCCCAGCCTCTGGCCACCTTTATTTACCCATGGCGGTGGCAGCAGGACCTTCCCTGCAGCACTGCCAAGAGCTGTCCCACTGTCAAGGACCCAGCTTGTGCTCTGGGGAGGAGTGGCAACGCTCTCCCGTCCTCACCAGCTCTCCTCTCTCTCCATCCCCATCCCCGTCCCTGCTGCAGGAGTCTTTGACAACTGCTCGCACACGGCCAGCGATAAGGGCTGGGCGCTGGGCATCCGCGCCCTGCAGCTCGGCGGCAAGAAGGACGCCCGCTTCTTCTTCTCCCTCCGTACAGACCGGGCAGGCGCTGCCACTGAGGTGACTGGCTACCACCGCTACCACCCTGAAGCATGGACCCACCTGGCTGCCAGCTATGACGGACAGTGGATGTCCCTCTATGTGGACGGGGCACGGGTGGGCCGTGCCAGTGGGCAGGGGGGGCCCCTGCACAGTACCTTCATGGCCTCCTGCCGCACTCTGCTCCTGGGGGGGGCCGCCTGGGGG